CYTCTGCGCAGATCCCAGGGCTTGACTCACAGTTGGCACTCCCTTAGTATGTGATGAGTAAACAAATGAATAATGAACACGGCYACAGGGAAATGGCCTCACTTCCTTTCCTCCAGACCCAATCTGCCACATGTGCTCCAAACCCTCCAGYCAGCACCCTCAGTTCTCTTACCTGTTTGACTCCTGACTTCCAATCCTATAACACCTTAGATAAATGAATGGGCCTGGTGTGTCCTGAACCTTCCAGTTTTAGCACTMAAAGTCCTGATCCCAGAAAGGCTTTCTGTCTTGGCCTAACTGGGATGGTTGGTCACCCTGCACCCCAGCCTCAGGTTCTGAGTTCCTGCACTCATACACGTAGACCAACAAGTAGCTCAGAAGGGAGGGAGAAAAGATTACTCAACACAGAAACTGATACTCCACACCCTGTGAGTTCTAGCCTCAGCTGGGCGCCTTCTGCTGCTCAGCCATTTCTTTTACAAGACCCTGGTCAGCTCTGTCTCTATACCTCATGGGTCAACTCCCTCCTGCATGGCTTTCTTCCATCCTAACCCCATCTATTGCTGCTTTTTGTCAGGGGCATTCCCTTAGACATGACCTTGTCATTTATAAGGCCCGAGTTCCTGCGACCTCCCACCTTTCCACCKCCCCAATTGGCACCTTCTGTCCTTCAGCTTGTCCAGGGAGGACAATCCCATTGGTCCCCTCCTGTTTCCCCTGAGCCCTTACACCAGTGCTTTCATCAGACACTGCAGGGCCTACTCCCCATGTTCAATTCTTTTCTATCTTACACAATCAGTAAACCCCAAAGCCCTTAAGTCAGAGGTCCCTTAGACTGACCATTCTTTCATTTTATTTCCTTTCACCTGGAGCTGGGACATCATGAGGGCAGAGTCTATACTCAGCACTTTAATTTCTTCAGCTTCAATTTCACTCAGCAGGCCTGCACCTGGGAGCCCCTTACCCACCATTTTCCTTACCCAGTGACCCTTACTGTCAAGCCAGACTGGAATCTGAGGTAAAAGGAAACATCAGGAATGCTCTTACTCTTTTTGTTTAAAATTTTGATAATTGGTTCATGATACATTTTAACAATTATGTTGGTATTTTAAAATGTTGCATTAAAATATTATCTGTCTTGATTACTGAATTATCGAGCACTCCCTGGAGTGTTATATGAAAGCAGGTATCTGATTCCTTTTACCCTAGCAGGCCAGCCCRGAGGATGCCACTCTAGTCATGGCCTTGGTGATCTCCTAGCTGCCATGTCCAGGGTACTTAGAAGTCTTTCAGACCCAGCAATTCTTCTACTGGTATATACACCAAAATAAATGAAAGCACTGCCTTGTAAAGATATCTGCATGCCCATGTTTGCTGCAGTATGGTTTACAACAGCTTCCAGTTATGGAAACAAACTAAGTGTTTATTGAACAAATAAACTGTGGTGTGTATATACAGTGGAATATTAGTCACCCTTCAAAAGGGAGAAGTTGCTGCCATTTGCCACAACATGGATGAACTAGATGACATCATGCTAAGTGAAATAAWCCAAACACARAGAAAAGTGTGTTGTATTGCATGATATCACTTATATGTAAAATCTAAAAAAAAAACRTCAAATATGTAGAGATAGAGAATAAATGGTTACCAGAGTCTGGGGTAGAAGAGGGAAGATGTAGATCAAAGGATATAAAGTAGAAAATATGTAGGAAGAACAAGTAAAAAATCTGGTGTATAACATGAGGACTATAGTTAATAATAATGTAATGTATTCAGAATTTTTGCTAATAGATTATAGGTGCTCTTGCCAGAAGGAGTGAGGGACAGGGGTTCGTGGAATAGTTACTACATGAGATTGACATGTTAATATGTTCCACTATAACAACCATTTTACTATACATGCATCTGATAACATCATGTGGTATACTTTAAATATACACAAATTTCATTTTAAAATAAATAAACAAACATAAAAAAATTAGTCCTCTTTATCTGGTTGCTGATAAATAATCCTTCCTTAAAATACTTCTCCCTGGGCTGAACTCACACACCATATTCTACCCAGGCCTTCTCTAACCCAATCCTCAGCACCCTCTTTCTGTATCTCCTTTTTATTGCTTTTAATATTTTTTGTTATACATGGACTCAATATCTTTATTTTGTTCATTTGCTTTTATTTTTATGTGGTCTGAGGATCGAACCCAGTGCCTCACATGTGGGAGGCAAGCGCTCTACTGCTGAGCCCCAGCCCCAGCCTGTACCATCTCTTACCCTAACTTGTCCCCTGGCCTTTCTGTTCTCCCTGCCTCTGACCTCACCCTTTCCAAATCTGTCTTCTATTAGAATGAACTTTCTGAAGTTGAAGTTCTTGCGTAGATCCACTCACTTTCTTGATTCGAACCTTTCAGGGATCCCTCATCTCCCACTGCAAGTTCCAATTTTCTCTCTATCCAAGGTCACACAGTCTATTGTTGCTCTCATCCCTCATTAATATACATTAATGGAATAATACATCACCATGTGGTTCATGATTTCTGCAGTGTTGCAGTTACAAACTCAAACATCCCCTAGAAGACCACTAAAGGACATTCAGCTTTGACCACTCAATAAGACCTTTCCCATATGTCTTTSCCTGTTTTACCTTGTCTGCCTAGCAAAACCCCTCTGGGTTTTCAGACCCAAATGAGGCATCTCTTTTTATTGTATAAACTTTCCTGTGAAAAGCTCACACAGATTCTGTCAGTTTGTATATGGGGTAAAAATGGGAGTTCATAACCCACTTGAGTCAAATGTATGAAATATGATATGTCAAGAGCTATGTAATGTTTTTAACAACTAATAAAAAAAAGATTCTGTCAGTAACTTCTTTTTACCACCTCCATACTACATATAAACTTCAAGTAAAACACTTAGCACAAACCTCTGGCACCCAGCATTTGCCCTAATAGGTGACAGTAAAATGTGGTTAAGTTTGGTCAGACTTCTCAACCCTTCTCACAGAATGTCAACTGCTTCCAAACCACCTGGTATCCAAAGCACATAACGTTCCCTGTAATCAGCAGCATAGTGACCAGCATGACTGGTTAATCTATCCAAAGACATACTTAACATTCCATTCTTTATCCTGTTCTCTACCTGAACCAAGGTCATGGGGTGGCATGAAAGCAAGGTCCTGTTTGCTGAACCACAGCACAAAAGCAAATAAAATGTCTCAGCAACCTGGCAACCCTGGGTGGCGATGGGGCAAAGCTCATCTTGACAGCTGCAGAAAGTAGCATGCAAACCTGGAACTTTCAGATGTCGGAAAGCCCCAGCATGATATGAACACGAGGTACTTGAAAGAGTCACCCAGAAGACTCTAAAAAACAGAGGAGGAGGGGGTTGCATGATCCTGAGTGGCATACACAGATGTTCTAKGCATTCATCTCTAACACAACAGAACCCATCCACCCCCTCCATTTATGTGCGGGACCCGTGRATGTGGGCTGTGCTTGTGGCAATTGGAGCAGCTGATATAACAAACCTATCTTTCCTCCTCCATCTGCAGGGATTTTAAACCTAAGATAGTGTCTGAAATGCCATTTCACAGCCCCCTCAAAATACTTAAATTGAGGATGTGTAATAATACATCACCATGTGGTTCATGATTTCTGCAGTGTTGCAGCTACAAACTCAAACATCCCCTAGAAGACCACTAAAGGACATAAAATTAGATGGCACTTTTTAAGAAAGTTGTTTGATGTGGCTGCTATGGCTTGAACATGTACCCTTTAAAATTCAGTGTTTTCCAATGTGAAAGGAATTAAGAAGTGGGGCCGTTAGGAGGTGATCAGGCCATGAGGGCTTCTCCCACGTGAATGGGATTAGTGCCCTTACAAAATGGCTTTCTGCCATGTGAGGACACGTTGTTCCTCTCTCCAGAGGATCCAGCATTCAAAGAAGCCGAGAGCTGCCCTCAACAGGTGCCAGCACTTTGGTCTTAGAAATAGACTAAACCTCCAGAATTTTGAGAAATAAATCTCTCTTCTTTACAAATTACCCAGTCTGTGGCATTTTCTTATAGCAGCACAAATGGACTGAGACAAAGCAGACTTCCTAGGACTCTCAGGCAAGTTCTTACAAATTTGGATCTACAACATCCCTGGTTCATAACAGGTGTATGAGTCACAACAAGATGAATGAATCACAGCATGAGAATCTAGACTAAAAGGATATTGAGAAGCATCTCACTGGATCCAGGAACATGAGCAGAGTCACAGGAGAAACAAATCTAAATCCAGTTGATGTAGTCACCCTCCTCCATCTTAACCAAAGTTCAGTTTTCACCTGGACAAACTTCTCACATACAGCCCAAGCATAAGAGTATCACCCCGTTTCTGTAAAACCCACAATCAAACTCCAAATGAGTAAGTATCTCAGTGCTCCCTGGACAGTGTTTTWCTGTCCCAGCATCTTTTCTCAAGCATTTGCCTCCACTCAGAATCGCCCTTGCCTCTTTTGAGTCTCAGCRTGTTAAAATTCTATCTCCTCTTTCAAGGTATCTCTTCCATAGTTGACTTGATCTCCAAATCAGGTCATCTCCTACTTGTAGCACTGTTTGTRCTCTTTTCTGGCATTTATCTTATTCTATGCAAGAGTCAGTTGAGTATTGTCATATGGAAGTGCTTAAGGGTAGATAGGCTCTTTGCTTCAGTTGGCTGTGGGTAGGCCCTGGCCAGGCCAGGCCTGCCAAGATCAGCCCTCTCAGGCCTTGAACAGGCCGGTAATCATTGCACTATTGCAGCAGGTATACACAGGTGTAATGTTCAATCAACCCTTTGCAACCTAGAGTGAGGCAAGATGGAACTGGTAATCTAATACGATATCACACTTGGAACCTGCTTTTTAGATCCAGGACAAAGAGAGAGAGAGTTTTGAAAGGAAGCTTTTGTAACCACATGATACAATGATACTGTTGTTTCAGAGGAACTTACAAAATGAATCTGACCTAGTAAGCCCCCATGCAGGCTTACCAAGAGCTGGCAGGACCTTGCCTGGAAAAGGAAGAATACACTGTCTTCAGCCAAGCTCACCTAATATCCACTGGCCTTTTAGCAAAAGGTTTAAATTCCAGTATGTTTTCATAAAAATGTATCCTTTTCACTGAATCCTGATAAGCCGTCATTTCTAAAATTAAAAATTTATGTGTCACAGTTTTTGTTTGTCCAATCTTCAACCACAGTTCCCTGTGTAGGATAGTTCAATAAGAGATTCAAAAGTTCCTAAAATTTAAAGTATTTTCCTCTAACAGGACAGCCCTTTAACATTCTCAAAACTAATACCTCCACAAGGTCTTGAGTTCAATCCCCAGCAMCCAAAACAAACAAACAAAAATATCTCATATGAGATGGTAATATTTTATTTTAATTTTTCATTTATTTATTTACTTACCTAGTTTTGCARTACTCAGGACTGAACCTAGGGCTTCCAGCATAATAGGCAAGCACTTTCCTGAACTACAGCCCCACCCCAGATGTTATGAGTTTAATACAAATCTAATTTTTAATAAACTGTTGTTCTATTCACTCACTTTATTGAGGGAAAAAAAAACCAGGACAATGTGTGATTTGCTACATTTATCCATTCGTTACCAGTTTTCCTTTTCCTTGGCAGAAAAAAAAAATAGCAATAGACCAAGATGGCCGAGTTTATTCAAGATTTCAAATTGTAATGCTTTGGTAAAGCCTGGGTCAGAGACCAGATCTGAGTTCCAAGTAGTACAAAGGAGGGTTGTGGCTAAGCTTCACTTTTTAGGTATCCACAGCATCTGATGTCACCTTTAGAGGAACTAGATATATATCCTCATGAGATCACACTCAGAAACCATTTTCTTTCTCAAGGTTTTTTTGTTAGGTGATTTTTTTTTTCCAGTACTGAAGATTGCAACAGGGGGACTCTACCACTGAGCTCCATCCTCAGTCCTTTTTATTTTTTATTTTGATACAATCTTGCTAAATTGCCCAGGCTGACCTTGAATTTGTGATCCTCCTGACTCATCCTTCCCAGTCACTGGGATTACAGGCAACCATGTGTACCTCCTCAAGGTGTTGAGGAATAAAAAGTGGCTCAAAAAAATGGAGACAAGTGGAAAAGAAAAATTCTCCAGTTGCTTCAGTCTCATCATCCCATCATCCCTGGTACATCCCTGGTACACAACCTGTTTCCTAGGTTCTGATCCCTTAGTTGATCTTTTCTTCTAAGTTCTTTGACATTTCTGGTGATTACACAGGTTAAAGGAACAGATTCATTCTACAAGTTGGCTGAATRATAGCCAACTTGTTTACAGAAAGCCTAGGCAGATAGCAACTGGCTTCAATTCTGATTCTCAGGAGGTATAGCTTTGKGCTATATATAACCGCCCTGTGCTACCACATTTCACTAATAGGTCCACCAGGGCACTTAGAACACAGACTTTTCTGCCAAATTAAAATAACACAGTCATGGATTAGAGTAGAACTCAAGTCAACTGTAAAGTCAAACTCAGCTTCAATGCTGTTCCACAGCCATGGTTTTCAGCATAACTTTTGCTGATGCATCTTGTCTTTGCCAACTAGAAAAAGAGTTGCAATCAACAGAGGGAGATTTATGTATTTCCATTCCCTAGTACTAGCAAATACTCAGTAACTGCTGAACAGATTGATTTTTTTTTTTTTAAATTCAACTTCAAGTCAAGTTTTGGTCATTGTTGCAAGGAATCTGGTCTACTCACCAGATGGTATTCAAGCAAGAGATCTGTCAAGTGCCTGCTCTTTAAAACAAAGGTCTGTCTTTAAAAGTTACCTTTGAAATCTTCAATTAAAAAAGAAACAAATGGATATATAAGCCCAAAAAAGAGCTAAAGGACATTTTAAGAAAAACAAAATAAAAACAAAAAATTTCACAAGTAGTAGATAAGGAAACTATGGTTCCCATTTGTAAAGTAAAATGATCAAAATAAATCATTACCCTGGAAAACAGCATGGAGCAAGTAAGTACAACAGCAGTTTTCAATTACATTGAAAAATTTAAAAATGATGATGAATTGCTTTATTCAATTGAAGAGTTCACTGTAGAAGACACAATTTTGAATATTCAGATGAATATGGTAATAAATTGGTAGGAATTAGGTCTCTTGTAATAAGTACTGAATTACCATAGATGACAACCCAATATCAATAATAAKAAGAAAATAACGAAGAAGCTATTCATTTTAGTCAAAACTTTAATGACTAAATAAAGACAAAGTGGGTAGAAATGGAGATATTGAAGGAACATAAATACAGGACAAGGTATAATGGGTAGAAAAGGAARCAATTTGATCTGTGAAGATTTGAGAACACATATACATATTTATACACATACATGTAATGTGTATATACATGCATGAAGTCATTTTTCTTTCAAATGTGCATGGTCAGAGAAGAAACTATACCCCTAAGCCAAGAATTAAAGAGGGAGTAAAACCATGATTCAGGGCATTTAAACAGGCAAATGAATTCAAACATGAATTGCAGATACACACATTCTTAAAACCAAGAAAAGTAGTAATTAGAAAAAGAAATCTTTCATTGATGACAGAAGGAGGAAATTTACATGTGGAAAATGCAGAAATATTAGTAGAACAGGCACCAGTTTGGAAATTCAGTTTGGAGAAGCAGCACCATACAAAATAAGGGATTTTTAAAAATTATATATATATATATATATATATATATATATATAACACATATTTAAATCTATAAGTACTTATACATATATAATTATTATATTTTATATAATATACATGTACATTTATTTATATACATAACAGAAATAAATACTGAATATATATAAGTATATAAGTACTGTATAAATATATAAGTACCATATATGTATATTTGAATATATATATATATATATATATATATATATATACATACATACACACACACATACATTAAGCACTTCAAAGACTGTATTTGAGTGTATAAGTTTCTGAAAAAGACACTCAAGTACAACCTCTACTTATCTGTAGGAATGGACTCCTGAGGGGCTTAGTCTAGTTACTTTACAGGTATTTAACAGAGGTAATTCTACCACAATTTGACTGAAAAGTTTTTAAAGTATTACAATGCAAAATGTTAAATGCAATGCTGTGGTAAGTGCAAAGGTAGCCACCAAGCTTGTGAAAGGAGAACACAGGACATTCAGGAAGGTAGGGTGTGAAGATTTCCAAACAAGACATGAGTGAAATGCAAAGGAGAAAGAGGATATTACAATAACAGTGCCTCTTGCCTCACAGGTTTATACTAAGTAAAACAAGAATGCACCTGAGCACAATTGCCTTCAGTGTCTGATCACCTACCCACAAGTTTCCTCCTTTGTTGTATGGTAGTAGGTCTTGTCCAGATTGTCTACGTAGGTAACTTTACTTGGTCTCTCCAACACTTGGTGAGGTTATGGAGACAAGAAACAAATTTAGATATCTAGAATTCTGCCTAGTCTAGAGGAGCTCCATACACGTTGGTAGAATGATACTGAATCAAAGGCAAAGAGGCAGTTGCATCCATAAACACGAGTTTAATTAGCTCTTGAGGCTGTACAAGCCCCCATTCTCAGAGTCCACTCCTGGGATTTAAAAGGGCTACACCAGTCAGTGCTGTAAGTCCCCAAGAAGTCTCAAGGGAGGGATCTAGGGTAGAAAGCGGGAGACTCAATTCTTTTCTCTGGGTCCAGGGACAGAGCCCTGACTTCCCCGTAGACCAYAGCGCCTCCAGCCTAGGGAAAGGGTCGGTAGGGGGTGGTAAGGTTCTTGGTTTACTCACGCCGGGCACCCACCGGCTCTTCCCACTATACAGTGGCCTCTCTTCGGACACGCTCGGGAAAACCAAATTAAGAAATGCTCCCGATCAGACGAGAAATTGCACGCTAGCATTGCATGCATCAAGAGGTGGCCGCCTTCTTGGGAACTGCCCGCAGAGCCCCAGAGCGTTTCCTCCACGCTGCCTGCCATGTGAGGCGCGTTTCCTCCACGCTGCCTGCCATGTGAGGCGCCGCCCAAGGTAGGCTGCGGAATTCCCCACGTCTCCCCAGATTGTAAAATTCCCCAAGTATGGTCAAAGGGCGAAAACCGAGCTCCAGCTCCGGGAAGTTGCCTGATGCCCGAAGGACACCAAGACTGAAGGGGAGCTGCTGGGGCGCCATGTCACCCAACTGGGAAYGGCGGTGGAACCAGGGACAGCTTGGGGACCAAACCTACTTCCGTTTCAGCTTCCTTGAGGACGCCCGGCCAAGGCTCAAAAAAAAACTGCCCACGACCTTCCTGTGCCTGTTGCGCAACACTCCCAGGGAGGGGGGACACCAAGTGTCCCTGCAGACCAGCAACTGGATTCACCTTGGAAAAGGGTGTAAGTTAGCAAGTAATGGTGTTAAAATGTAAAGGCCAGTTAGAGACGGAACGTACAACAATTTCACCAGGGCATTCGACCCAAAAGGTACCAGAAAAACAAGTGTTGAGAGAGGGAGAGAGAAAGAGAGAGAGAGAGAGAGAAAATATGGATTCCTGTATGATAAATACATTCAAAGTTCTCTTCCAAACAACAGTCTTGAAAAAATTATATTCTGGAGTTGAACCCCCGGGAGGGGGGGGGGGGACGGGGACAAAACTTCAGTCCCTCTTTATCTGAAATCTCGTACATAAAGCAGGTCAATCCCGCCAGATCCTGTTCTTAGTTTTAGATTATTCCGGTTTATCAACRTCCTAAATGCTTTACGTATGTTACCCCCTATTGGTTCCACCTTCTGTTGTGGAGTAACAAATTTCAAAAGTCAACTAATCTTCTAGAGGGCGTCAGCTCTTTGAATTCACTTCCTGCTCCCTAGAATCATTTACTCTTTTTCAATGGCCTTTGTTTTACCAGTTTGGGTTGTTAATATTAAAAGAATATGCCCTCYGTCCAAATCTCGACACAGTCAAGTGAAAACTTTTAGAAATGATGTTTCATTTCTCTATCGTTTTGAAGGTGTCTGGAAGTAAGCGGTAGGAACAACTTCTTTTTGGGAGGGGGGGTGACTTAAATTCTTATCAGTCTAGCACTCCCAACTTTCCCAAGGCAAGCTTGTAAATTGCCAAAACATACATTAAACCACTTTGGAAAACAACCCTGACCTATTTTACCTCGCTATTGCAAAAAAGACTAAAACTTCCCGCTGGGCCAGACTTTCCGGTTGAGTAAAGAAAAAGTCCCCTTTGTCAAAGTTTCGAAAGGAAAACTGCGCATGTTTTCGACAGTTCGCCTCAGAAGCAACTCTCCAGATCATTTTAACCAAAGTTTACAGCCGCTGGGGACTGGTCACCAAAGCTTGAGACCAGTTTGCACCTCTGGAGGCTGATGTGGGGTGGTCTGCGACGGCCCAGCAGTCCCACTCTTTAGTGGGTCCAGGCGGTCGGAGCAAACCAGACCTCATCAGGGACCCTGGCAGCCTGAGGCGACCTTCAGCGCAGGGTAGAGGGAGTGGGGCCGAGGAGGCGGGGGCGCTCCGCCCAGCCAGTGCCAAGGGGCAAACCGGAAAGAGTCCACAGAATTAAATCACCTGCATAAGGCCCACCCCGCTCCTGGCTTCTGCTGAGCCCCCTACAGGGGCAAGTGTTAAAGCTGCAGTCCGCGAGCAGCCCCCTGGCGGGCTGCGCACTGACGCGCAAACCCGTTGTGCTCCGACCCCGAGTGCCGCGGGTCTCGCGCTACTTGCCTGCGGCCCTGCGCAGGAGCAGCTGGGGAGCACGGGTACGTACCGTCCTGCTCCCGCCCGGGCTCTCCTCCGCTCCGACCCCTGGGCCTTCACTCCCCCAGACACCGGAAGGCACTGTCGGCGTGGAGGCCTAGAAACTGACGTGGAGCCGGCGATTATAGGGCGTAGCGCTTCCCTGCCCTCCCACTGCGGTAGCCTGGGCTGGCCCTGGACGTGTCTCAACTTACAGTTTCCCTGAGCGGTCCAGAGACCCCACGCACGAGACCCSTAGGAGTCCCTTTTGAGTTGAAAAACCAGCGAGACCGTCAACCGCTGCTTCCTGTTAATGCTTTCCTGTTCTACAACAGCTGAGTGCTCTGTGAAACCGTATTGGATGTTCGAAGTTTTGTTGTATGATCTCCGCTAGTGTCATTACCAGTGTGTGGGAATAGTAAGTGGCAAAAGTGAACATGCTTTATGGTTGAATCTATTCCTAATAACTACTTCCCTGAGATATTTTAATTATTCCCCCCACTCCCTGTCATTGCTTTGTTTTGTTTTTAAGGGTGGGTGGGGGGATTTTTTAAGTGCGAGTGGGTATTTGCTGGGGGATCAAGCTCAGGGAATTTCCAATGCTAGTGAGATAGGAACTTGGGAATACRGAAAAAGAAAGATACACTGTCTCAGAAGTGCCTAGAAACTATGGAAAGCAGGAAAAGTCCATAAACCTTTGAAATGTAAAACAAGCCTTTCCCACCAACCCCGCCCAGGTCCTTAGTCCTCTACCTAAGGGGCTTAACCCTTAAACCCTGCTCTTGCCTGCACAAAATAACACGAGGGAAATGTGCAAGCGCTAGAAAAGCTGGCAGGAAATCGAGTCACTCCACCCTGGCTCCACCTGTAGGCCAACCCCTAACTACTGTCTGTCTGTGTGTGTGTATATATATATATATATAATTATATAATATATTATATAATACTATATATATATATAATATTATATTAAATATATATATTCAACTCAGGGGCACTCAGGGGCACTTTACCACTGAGCCACATCCCTAGCCCTCCTTTTTATTTTGCTTAAAAGCCTCGCTAAATTGCTGAGGCTGGTTTTGAACTTGTGATCCTCCTGCTTCAGCTGGGATTACAGGAGTGCTCCACCTTACAGGCCCTCTATAAATATTAATACCCCATATCAAGATGTTGCTATATCTCTAGTAATGGCCAGTTTACTACCTCAAATGTGTATTTATTACTTTACCCCAAAAGTTCTCTCTCTCTCTCTCTCTCTCTCTGACATTGTCTCTCTTATACTTCTTTTCCATATAAATCTATGTCTCTGGTATGTGCCAAAATTCTTGTCCATTTCATATGCCAAGAACTCTACTTTCCACGTGTCCTGAGTAGAGTACCCCTCTATAGGACCTCCTGTGACATTAGGACAAGTTATCTACCACTGGATTATATGTCCAATCCTTAAAGTTTTCTTAATTTTTGGCTAGAGTTGTAGCTCCATGGCACAATGTCTAATTAGCATGTGCAAGGCCCTGGATTTGATTCCTAACACAACTTTTTTTATTTTTTGACAGGAAAATTACAAGAATAATACYAAGAGATTAATACTGATATGACAGCATAAAGAGCTGACCCACCCTAAGTGAAACTAGTGAAAATTATGGCCCTAAAGGCAAATAGCAAATAAACATCAATCTAAAAAAATTATATGAAAATTTTTCCATGAAAAAGTCCTGGACTGTGGTACCAAGTCTGTCTGCATGAATCAATACTGTCCTTCCCCCTCTCATTTTGCAAGACAGATTCCAGACTGCTGCAACCCAAACCACAAAGCTTCCCGGTAGCACTCATCAGAGGAACAGGATGTCAGCATTCTTATTCCTTTTCTTTTCCTAGCCACATGATGCTGAGGCTAAGTCATGGGTTAGACTAAGTGTGGATTAGAGATAAGGGATTCCCTTCCATCCAGCTGCAATTCATGGAACAGATGCTCCACCTTGGGCTGGAGTGCTAAGATATTGGAATTCTGATTACCTTTAACCCAGCTCCTCAAATGGTACTCACATGAAGAGAGAAGCTGKGAGGACTTCAGCCTGCTGCCCTTTGTCCACCTAAGCTCTTGGACCACAAACATGACTCTAAGAGAAGCTTGCTATTTTCTAACCCCAGATCCAGAGACTTGGCTCAAAGATTGTGCTTGGGGGTTAAGCAATCCATAAAACAGCCCTTTATCTCTTCCCTAAAGAATGACTTCATTTGCATCAGAACATGGAAAAGTTCAAGCCAAAAAGTGATCTAGCAGAGGTTATAATAATAGATAATTGGGAAGAGATTCAAGATACAGTAGGCTCTCTATTCACTAGTTAAGTGTCCATGGATTCAACCAACCTCATACCAAAATGAAAAAGAAATTGTGTTTTTACTGAACATGTTCAGGCTCCCTGCCCTTATCATTATTCTCTAAAAATACAGTATAACAGTCATTTATGTAGCATTTACATTAYATTAGGTATTATAGGTAATCCAGAGATTATTTTAAATATACCAAAAGATGTATGCAAAAGTTTATATGCAAATACTAACCATCTCATAGTAGGAATTTGAGCATCCAAGGATTTTGATACATGCAGGGGGTTCTGAAACCAATCCCCAGTGGATGTAGAGAAAACTTGTAGGCCAGCTAGCTTTCAGGAAAGAACAAATTAAGATAGCTGAGAAGAGCTCTCCTAGAGTAAGAACAAATATTACACAATGACCTTATAAACTATTCCTTCAAAGGGGTTAAATTTCAATTGGATTCATCTATGGAGCAATTTATTTTGAGTACCTTTGGAAATAATAAAACAATCAGCTGGAAATTAATGATGTTTAACATCTAGATGTGAGTGGTGAGRTGAATTTCATCGAATCCAGCCAATCACTGAACAAATACAGATGTTCCTTAATTTAAGATGGGGTTATGTTTTGATAAACCCACTGTTTTAGTCAGCTTTTTCACCACTGTGACTAAAAGACCCAGGCAGAACAATTACAGAGAAGGAGTTTATTTGGAGGCTCACAGTTTCAGAGGTCTCAATCCATAGACAGCTGGCTTCATTCCTCAGGACTTGAGGTGAGGCAGAACATCATGGTGGAAGAGTGTGGCAGAGGTAAGCAGCTCACATGGTGATCAAGAAGCAGAGAGAGAGACTCCACTCTCCAGATACAAAATATATACCCCATAGCCACGCCCCCAGTGAAACATTTCCTCCAGCAACATTCCACCAATCTCCAGTCACCATTCAGTTAATCTCATCAGGATTGATTAACTGATTAGGTTAAGGCTATGACCCAATCATTTCTTCAAACCTTCTTGCATTGTCTCACATGTGAGTTTTTGGTGGACATTTCATATCCAAACCATAACACCCACCRAAAACATAARTTGAAAATGTATATAATACATCTAATTTATTGAATATCATAGTTTAGCAACACAGTTCATCATAGAGTATCAGTTGTTTGATCTCTTGATTGTGTGACTTCTGAGAGCTGCAGCTTTCTGTCATTGCCCAGCATCACAAATGAGTATTATAGTATCTATGGCTAGCCCAGGAAAAAGTCCAAATTCAAAACTTCAAGTAAGATTTTTACTGAATATGTATGACTTTCACGCCATCATAAAGAGGAACATAGTAAATCTGGGATTATTTGTCATACTGACAAGTCCCAGGGACATGGAGGAAAGATCAGTACTGAGAGTTGTCACATATATTATCTTAAATATCCTTTTTTTTCCTTTAATTTTTTTTTAGTTGTTGATAGACATTTATTTTTTTATTTTTATGTGGTGCTGAGAATCGAATCCAGTGCCTCACACATGCCAGGCAAGTGCACTACCGCTTAGCCCCAGCCCCAGCCCCTCTGAAATATCCTTTTTCCAACAAAGAAATTATCAGGCAGGCAAGGAAACAGGAAACTGTGACTCATACATTGAAAACAAAACAAAAAGCTTATGAGAATGACCAGATGTTGGATTTGTCACAAAAAAAGGAATTCAAATAGCTATTCTAAACATGTTCAATGAACTAAAGAAAATATGATTAAAGAAGTAAAAGGTAGGGTGGGGTTGTAGCTCAGTGGTAGAGCACTTGCCTAGTACATGTGAGGCTCTGGGTTCGATCCTCAGCACCACATAAAAATAAATAAAGGTATTAAAAAAAAGTAAAAGGGTGACATTTATTTGCTGTCACATCAAATAGAGACTCAGTAAAGAGATAAAGATTATTTTAAAATTAACCAAGTAGAAATTCTAGAAAATATAATTCTGGAAATTATGAAAATACCAAAAATTGCAATCACTGAAATAACTTTGTTAGGGGCTCAATAGCAGATTTGAACTAGCAGAATAATAAGCTAATTTATAGACAGATCTATTAAGATTATACAAGCCAGGGGCTGGGGATGTGGCTCAARTGGTAGCGCGCTCGACTGGCATGCGTGCGGCCCGGGTTCGATCCTCACACCACATACCAACAAAGATGTGTGTCCGTGGATAACTAAAAAATAAATATTTAAAAAAAAAAAAAGATTATACAAGCCAAAGAATAGAGAAAAAGAACAAAGAAAAATGAAGGAAATCATAATATAATCCCAGCGATTTGGGAGGTTGAGGCAAGAGGATCATAAATTTGAAGCCAGTCTTGGCAATTTAGCAAGGATCTAAGCAAGTTAGTGAGACTTTGTCTCAAAATGAAAAACAAAAAAGCAGATACTGGGGATGTGGCTCAATGGCTAAGTGCCCCTGGATTCAATCTCTGGTGGTGGTGGGCAGGGGGTGATGAAGAAAGTCTCAGAGAAATGAGGGACACCGTTAGGCACAGCAATAGACTTGGAAAGTCTTTCAAGACTTTAGCCAATTTCCCCATTGACTTTTAGTAACAGATAAAGACAGATGTATGRGAAGTCACTCTGAATGACCTKCGCCTTCCATTCTGAAGTAAGAGGCTCTGACTGATCACTACTAGTGACTTGGGTGATGTCCTAGTTCAGAAAGTTGAGGGCGTGTCTTCAGATGTAGGCGTGTCACCCATGGAGTGGAGCTACACTCACCTATTCCTTTGTAATACTACCCCTTTGCCCTGTTTGGGATAGAATGTTCCATGGGAACTCCCTTTGTGTGTCCCCTTCTCTTGCTCTGCCTTTGGGTGTGGCATTCCTAGATGTCACTCAACCTGCTGACAGCAGACATCAAGAAGCTAGACTCAATCCCCTGAAACCTGACCCCTTGCCTCATTTGAATGGTTTCTGCTCAATAAAAGGGTCAGCAGGTSCTCCCTCCCCTCCCCACTCTTCTCACCCTTAAGGTGGGAGGAGCCATCACAGAAAAAGATATCTCTGTCTCTTGTGTGATTATTTTGTGCAGCCCAGTTCACCTGGAGTGACCCTGAGTGTTTTAGTCATGAAGAACACAACACAGATGTATATTATTGTGACTTCGTTATAATTTTCTTTTTGATGTTAGTATGTCCTGCCTTGTATTGTCTCTAATATATAAAAATTATTTTGGGCTAGGGATGTAGCTCAAGTGGTAGCGCACTCGCCTGGCGTGCGTGCGGCCCGGGGTTCCATCCTCAGCACCACATACAAACAAAGATGTTGTGTCTGCCGAGAACTAAAAAAAAWAAAAWWAWWWTWAAAAWTTT